GAGATGGGCATCGCTGCCTACGCCGACGGCCAGAGGCCCGCGCATCTACATTTTTTCGCCTGACCCCATCAGTGCCGACCCAACTACACCACCACGCGCATGCCTCGCGGCGGATATGCGCAGCAGCAAGAAGGTTTCGGTCATCCCTTGAGGGTGAGTCTAGCCCTGCTCGCCAGAAAGACCCCCCCCTTCACTACAACCCATGTCTAAGCAAAAGCTTGTCGAGGAGCGAGGGGAAGAAGGGAGAAGACCGTACTCGGTATCAAATACCACTAATAGTGTTTTGCTACCTTATGTAACGATTTACCCAGCTTACATAAACCACCCCGTAGGAAGTACTAGGCATTCGTACCTCACATTTCACTGCCTGCACAACAAACACCACGCCCTTGTTGTGCTACCCTGCCCCGGAGCAATGGTGTAGCTGCCCGTGGCTCACCAATTTTCCGACAACTCACCGCCGAATTCCTATTCCAACTGGAAAGAGTGAATTTGCTTGGCGTTTTGTGGTGGGGGCACCACGTCCGCGTGGCAATGTTACCCAAGTTCAACTCATCTTGCTTGTTTTTCACTGCGCTACGGTTTGCACCGTAGGTGACACAGTGTACCGCACTCTGTAGAGAAACTGCACAATGCCACTTTTGAATCTCGACGAAAAGGCCAGCTTGTCGCACGGTTACACAAGGGCAACATATCAAAGTTGATCGAATTCGCGCACGGATCCCCGCCTACCACACTTGCCACATGGTGAGATTAGCCTTGTACGCGCAATCACGAACAATCTGTGCCATTCCTGTGGACACCGACACTACGGTCGAGGTGGATTCAGTACTCACCTTTCAGACTGCAATGGGTCGGTCTCCAACGGTGGCTCCACGCTTCATGATGTTCGTCCTTTTGTAGAACGAGGGCAGCCATGCATGACATTATGTACTGAAGAGAGGTACCCCCGAAGTATAGTGCGACAATGTGTGTTCGTCCCATCTAATCTGACGCCAGACAAGGGCCAGCCGAAGTCACACAAAGTTATGTGTCACCCGGAAGTTTTTTTTGTGTCCCACCTTTCCTCTTGCGGTGCTCGCCCTGGTTTGACCACGAGACGGATCCAGTCTTCCCTTTCCCTCGTGGACCGCGAAGCCGAACCGTGTGTACGTCATTGTTGCGAGAGAACGCAGGTGGGTGTGACCGATTTCTAAAAGAAATCGTTTCTTATCGTACGGTTTTATTGATTTACGTGCGAGATCACCGACGTGCGACACTGAATATCAGTTCCCCCCTGCAGCAGTATTATTAATAGGTACTTTCGACGCACATGCCTGTGCGGAAATTCCGAGGTGCAGTACATGTACCCAACATGTCACGTCCGTACTACAGGCACAGGTACCTCCATGGCACTGAGTGTCCCTGGAACCACTCGGGGCATTCAGTGTCGGTGATATCGCACCCCTGTGCGATACAGTGCGATAATCGAAAAGTGGTTTCGTTCTGGTTTTGTATCGCACGGGGGTGCGATATCACCGGTACATGCTATGTCACCGAACCGTGCGTTTTCTCGCATCCTTCGACGTTCTCCTCACTCACACCACGCGCTCCACACACTCCCACGCTCGCCGCGCACCACACTCGTCTCTTCTGTCAACAGCACCGAGCTCCTCCTGCTATGCCTCTTTCAAGCACCAGATATCCGTCGCCTGCTGACAGGCCTCCCAGTATCCAGATTTTTCGGTCGCAAGAGCCGCTGTTTCTCCCATCGCATTTACATGGATTTATACTACTCTTCTCCGGGGTATGTGCATGCCCACTAAGTAGTTCGCAGTTTGTGCACAACGTGCCCACTCTTTCTCCGCACTTCTCTCCTCGCTTGCGTGCCTCCCACTTGACGCGCTCCACAACCCCACTCCAC